GACTCAACTCCAGGAAGCAGTGGAAGACAGGAGGGCATGGCGTACTCTGGTCCATGCAGTCACGAAGAGTCGGACACGACTTAACGACTAAACAACAACAACAGGTAGAGGTCAGTATCGTTTTTCGTATTCTTTGGGCAGAGAGAAGGAATTTGGCCACTGATTCAGTGGTTATCTTGTTTGTGTCGCTTAATAAATATTTTGTATACGAAATCAGAGTCCTTCCTGGGAAGAAATTCATTATGGGCTTGAGGAATTTGATAAGCTCATTTCTGTAAAAATTACACTCAAAAAGGATGTGCATCAAAGTTTCAATTTCTCTATCCTTACAATGACAGAATCTTTTCTTGTAAGGGGTTACCAGAATATTGCCGATCTAAAATTGCGGACTGGAGACAGTTAAATCAGGCTCTTGAAAAGACGTGCCTGTATTTTGGTTAAATTAAATTCTCTAGCACTTTGGGAGAAATTATAGTTTAGGCCAAGGTGCAAGATGGAGCATGTTTTGTGAGCCATTGAAATAGAATACTGAATGTCAATGTCCCTAATCCCTTTTTAAGGATAGAGTTGGCTGCCGTGGATTCCTGGGCATAAGGAAAGTCCAAAGAGAGCGCTAATAGATGCAGTTTGGCTGTTATGGACATATAGATGCAGTTTGGCTGGAAAAGCTTTAAACCACGGGCTGTTATGGACATCTTCCTGTAGAAGGTTAAGATATCCCATGGAGGGATCAGCATGTACTACCTTGTTCCAATATCTAAAATCAAAGAGCCAAGTACTGCATTCCAGTGATGTTAGACCAGTCTCTAATTGTAAGGCAGCTGCAGGGATGCATCTTGGCATTCCCAGAATGGATCTTAGGAAAAATTGAAAGTACACTCTCTATACTTGTGTGAAATCCTAGGATCCAAGTTTGTATACCATATAACAGTTGGGGCAGAATCTTGAGCTTTAAAAACTTGGATAAGCAGCTGGTATAAAATGTCCCCCCTTATTAAAGAAAAAATGCAATGTTCTGGGCTGCTTGGATTATGGACTGTCTATGGGCAGCCCAGGAAAGTTTATGGTGGAATATAATACCTACATACTTTAGCTATTTTACTTGCTCAGTGCAAGAACCATTAATTGTCCAAGTTCTTGGTGTTACAGAGTGAGCGAAAACCATACTTTTAACAACATTTATAACCAATTGGTTGTTCTTACAGTAGGTTATAAATGTATGGATCAGCTGTTTAAGGCCTATTTTTGATAGGGACAGAAGAACCACATCATCTGCATAAAGCAGTAGGGGGCATTTGCTCTCTGCCAATCTAGGAGGATGGAAGCCTGTTCCAAGACACCACCCAATTATTTAAATACAGGTTAAATAACGTGGGGGCTAATATACAGCCCTGTCAAACCCCTTTATTAGCCTGAATAGGTTTTGTCAAGTTTCCTTCTGTATCACATCTAACACGGAGTGTGGTGCCCTGATAAAGACATTTAATAAGATATAGAAGTCTCTTATCTATAGAGGTTTTGTATAATTTTGACTATAGAATATCTCTTGGGACAGAATCAAAGGCTGATTTTAAGTCTATGAATGCAGTATAGAGTCCATTACCATAAGAGGACATACATTTCTCTGCAAGATGGCTCAAAATCATACAGTGATCAATTGCTGATCTACCCTTTCTAAATCCTGCCTGTTCCTTCCCCAAGATATTTTCCTCCTCTATCCAAGTAAATAGTTTTTGATTTAAATAACTGGAGTACAATTTACCCAGCACAGAGAGTAGATTGATTGGTCTGTAGTTGTTTGGGTCTCCTCTTTCTCCTTTCTTAAAGATAGGTATTATTATGGCTTCGGACCACTTATGTAATTTTCGACCTATGGACTTCTCTGGCCACAAAATTTCCCATCGACTTGCAGCCGTAGAATCGACCTACGGACCAGAAGGGGGAGGCGGGGAAAGCGCCAAATTCAAAATCATGCCTCCGGATGCCTTCTAGGGCTTCGCCACTGCCATGGGAGGCATCTCGGAGGAACCTGCCGCCAATGCTTTGGAGGCACGATCGGTGGCGGCAGGAACCTCCGAGATGCCTCCCATGGCGGCGGAGAAGCCCTAGAAGGCATCTGGAGGTCCCACTCTGGAACTTCCTGGGGAGTAGACCGGGCCTACCGGGGAAAGTCCTCCCCTGGTAGGCCTGGTCTACCAGGCTTTCCCGGCAGTAGACCAGGCCTACTGGGGGAAGCCCTTCCCCGGTAGGCCCAGTCTACCAGGCTTTCCCGGGCAGTAGACTGGGCTTACCAGGGGAAGCCCTCCCCCGGTAGGCCTGGTCCACCCTGGGAAAGCCTGTGTCGGTGGGGGTGAGGGACCTCTGAGGGGCCTCTACAGCGGTGGGGAAGCCCTCGGAGGCCTCGGGCAGCGGTGAGGGTGGCAGCGAGGGACCTCTGAGTCCAGCAGCATCGGGGAAGTCCTTGAGCAGCAGCGATGGCGGCGGCGGGGGACCCCTTGAAGACTTCGGACAGGTAAGGTCTATTCATTTTCATTTTTTGATCCGTGTGTGGGGGGTTTCTTGCGCCAGTTAAGGATTACAGGGTTTTCAATGCATTCCTATGGGAAATGGACCCTCGATCTATGGACTTTTCGACCTGCGGCCACCATTCCTATACGGATTAATTCTGTAGGTCGAGGGTCCATTGTAGTTGGAGTGAAATCTATTGAGTGCTCTTTATTGTCCCTGAATAGAGTAGAGAAGTGCTGTTCCCAGATGTTCGCTGAGATGTTACAGCTGAGCTGGTTCGAAGACGAGCTCAGGGCATCAGTGACAAGAGCCCAGAAGAGTTTAGATTTTTTTATTTAAAGTGCATTCTATTAATGCATTCCATCCCTTTTGAATTGCTTGTCTCTTTCTATGTGCTATTAATTGTTTATATTTCTTTTTTATATCATAATATTCTGTGGGTAATACGTCTAGGTTTTCCTTTCTATAGTTGTTATATACCTCTCTCAGTTGTTTTTTTAACTACATAACATTCCCTGCCAAACCATTTGGGGTCCCTTATGAGGCTTGTGGAATCAGTTGTTTGGAGGTTAGGGCCATATTCATCACATTGATTAGGACTGAGTAGTTATTTATGGCAGTAGTGGCATTTGTAACTCCTATGACTGAATTTTTTAGGGACTCCCCCTCAGTGGAGCTAAATAAGCCTTCTAGCTTATTGTGGGTTTCCTCAGTCCAGTGTATTCTCTTTTGTTTGAAGCTTAGAAATTTATCTTGGAGATGAGGTTTTGCACTCAGATGGACGGACTGTGAAAGTAGGAGGGAGGTATTAAGGGGCAGATGGTCACTATCCAGCCTTAGGCCTACATAAAATTCCAGTATCTCTCTAGATAAAGAATGGGAGATAGCACAAAATCCACAGCACTGCTTCCATATCCCGATAGATAAGTAAATTCAGGGCGTTTGTCCTGGCAGGGGTTCCCGTTTAATATTATAAGACCAAGGCAAGGCACCATTTGGATCATACAGATGCCACCATAATTCCCCTTAGTATCTCTGGACATTCTATCATAGCTAGGAGCAAAGATCTCATTTTCAACTGCCCCCCATAAACTAGAAGAAAAGAGTGTGCTGTTATTTGAGCCTAATCTTGTATTAAAGTCTCTCATTATGAGTAGCTGGGCTCTAGGGACTGCTTTCTCCATGTGGAAAGTCATCTGCCTGTTGGATGAGAGCTTCTTGTTCATGAACAGCCTCTCCACACCGGCAAGAATACTAGAAAATTGGGATTCTTGCCTGCATGGAGAATCTACTGTACATACAAACAGGGACCTCTATTTTGCAGACATCTCAGATTCCAGAGAGAAAAGCTAATGACACAGAGGAGCAGAGCTAGATGTTCCTTTCTTCACATGCTGTATAATGCAAGGCAAATAAAGCCTGAACAGATCTATTAGCCTTTGGCTCTCCCCAACAACAATCTCAGGAGGTGCAGGAGTCAATAATTCTTGCCTATTAATTTTTGGGCCCTAGTTCAATGCAAGAGAGGCAGCAAGTGATGAGAACAGCTCCCCCTCCCCTTCTGAAACTATCATTAACTGACTCCTGAGGAACAGTTTGAGTATGCTAATTGATGACAGCACTGATGGTGAGGAGTCAGCATGGCTCCTTTGCTTTGCTGTGTTCTTTTAATCAGCAGCTGGAAATGACTCCAAACAGGACTGCATATCACACTATACACTGGGACAGGATAGTAGAGAACAGAGCTCAAAAGTACAGTGGACCCTCGACTTACAGACGGCTCCCCTTACAGACTTTTTGAGTTACAGACTTCTCTGGCCACAAAATTTAGATTCGACTTGCAGCCGGAGAATCGACCTACAGACTGGGGCGGGGGGAATGGAACAAAAACGGTCAATTACGGATTAATCAGTTTTCAATGCATTGTAGGTCAATGGAGCCTCAACCTACAGACTTTTCGACCTGCAGCCACCATTCCAATATGGATTAATTCTGTAAGTAGAGGGTCCACTGTAGACTGATGTTGCTCATTTGATGCTTGTTCTGCCTGAACTGTACTCACATTGCAGGAAGAGAGAATGCTCTCCCATAAAGAGGAAGTTAAAATCAAAATACTGTGAAGAAACCAGCAGAAAAGGGGTTAACCACCCTCTCAATTTCTCCTGCCTGGCAAGCACCCACACCAGGTAGCACAAGTGTAATGTGACTCAGTGGTAAGTGGATCTTCTCTGTGGTGAACTGGAAATCCTTCACAGATAACCAGGAAGGATCAGGCTTAGGCTACTTCTGACATGTCAGTTTTATTTTTTAATTGTATTTAATAAAATTCTTAATCACATTTTAAATGACATATTCCTTTTATTTATGTTATGGCTGGGAATGCAAAGGTGATGGAATATGTGACCACAACTCTCTACAGCCCAAAAGCTTTGTCAACTCAATATCCAAATTTTAGAGCTTTAATGAAGACATTACAGTCAAATATTATTTACAAAAATTGATTCTGAAAAATAGTTCTGGGTGGGGAAATGGAATGAAGACATTTATTAGCAAATGATCTCTTACAGTCTAAACAAAATTATGAAGTTATAGCTATTCGTCAATAGTACAGATTTTCAAAAAAAGGGGGGAGGAGTAAAATCATAATACTTAAACTACTGGGAAAATATTTTACCTCTGATCTAAGCACAACATTCTCCTCTTCAAGATCCTTAAGTTTCTTTTGAAGAGTATCCAAATGAAAATAGTTCTGGACAGATGAAGATGACTCATTTCTCTTCATCCTGGTAAGAAGAATATTAAGGTTGTTATTTTTGACTCTTTGTTTGCAAAGTTTGTAGTGAAGATAAATAGCAGTTCCTAATAACTGTATCTGCATTAGACTGCATATTTCCAGTAAATTAAAAAAGAAAACTACAAACTAAGCTGTGACGTTCACCTCTATGAAACAACTATTTTTTGTGCCCTCACAAAGGTTCCAGTCTTTGTTTCCCTCACTGCCACCAGTGGATTACCTCTATCTACAATATAAAAGACATTTGTCCAAACATTTGTCTGGTAAATGCAAACAGAACTTATTTATTGAAGTGTAGAAAAGTTAATAATAATCACAGATGTTCTTCAGTTGTTCATTGTACACAAGCAAATCATTCACAGGTCTTTCTATACATACTTTCTTCTTGCCATATACTGTAATTAATTACCACCTTCTCTATTTATCTTAATCAGCTTAGCTCTATTAATATCTGTTCCTTCTCTCTCTGACTGACTAACTCTGCTTGGTCACAGCTCTCTTCCTGCTCACATGTTCAGATTAATCAATTATTGAATGTGTGAATACAGACAAAGCTATTACCTTAATTTTCAGTGGTGCAAGTCACTGTGGTACTACCTACTGAGAGTCAGATTTGGCAACTTTACACCACATGTCCATACTGCTGCATATAGAAGCTGATCTGGCACCTGTCACTGGAAACCTGATGGGCTCACCAGTGATGCCTTGATATATGTGTGCAGCAACTGAACTGGGACATTTCTGAGAGCAGATGTACAATTTATGACACAATGAAATGTACAAGATTTACAAAATAACAGTGAAAAAAAACAGATGAACCCTTCTACAGCCAAATCTATCCATGGAATACTGAAAGATTAGCTACTATGCGGTACTACAAATTTTATTCCTTAGTCCTGCTATTAATACCTGTGGCATATAGCTCATTTTCAGTCTTTATGAATAATGGTGGATTATAGCATTCTACAGTGGTGCCAGATAGGACAGAAGGGCGTAAAGAAGACTCCTGTAATATATTACGGTGCACAGTAGGTTCTCTCTGAGACTTACGGAGTTGAACAGATGGATTCTGGTTCACTCTCTTCAGCAGCACTAGTGTAAAACTGAAGCAGTTCATCTTTCATGGACAGCTCATGACGCAACTGAGAAACCTGAACAAACAAGGAAGGAAAGTTGACACATATTTCCTAAATGCATTTTAGGCAGGAAATATAAGAGTTGACCATTGTGTGGGTTCAGGCTACTGAGCCTACTTAAAAAGAAATAGGAAAATGCTCTGTGACAGAGGGGAAGCATAGATTAAGAATTCTAGCACCTGCTAAGGTTAGGGAAGAAGTACTTGTCCACTTTTTTCCATTAAAACTGCTGGTTTTCACATGCAGAAGGAGCTGTAGTTCATCATACAGTACTACACTGATGCAACAGCTTGGTAGTAAATCACACACAAGGACTGCAACCTCTTCAAGCCAGGTACTCCAGTATGGTTATCCATGTCTGTGTCGCATTCAAAGTGCCAATGGAGAACTTGAAGGAAGTCACCTCATGTCAAACTGTGTTGAGAGAAGTGGGAAATGATGCCTCTTTGGAAGGCTTACATGTATCAAATAATGTAAGATCTGCAAGTGATTCTGGCTAATGCTTGGCTGGAGTTCCAAGTGCTGACTTCACTTACAAAAGCTTTTCAAAAGAAACACAAGGATTCTGCAAGTGTTGCCACAACAGCTGCTTTGACAGATAAGCTGCTTTATCAGCCTAAACTTGTTGTATGTGGTTTGTTTTATTTTTAAACCAATCTTGGAAATGAAAAGAAAATGCTGAAGTCAACACAAGTGTTTATAGTACCTAAAATGTTATAGTCTAAATCAAGTCTGAGTGCTCACTGGAAGGACAGATCCTGAAGCTGAGGCTCCAATATTTTGGCCATCTCATGAGAAGAGAAGACTCCCTGGAAAAGACCCTGATGTTAGGAAAGTGTAAAGGCAGGAGGAGAAGGGGACGACAGAGGACGAGATGGTTGGACAGTGTCATCGAAGCAACCAACATTAATTTGCCCCAACTCCAGGAGGCAGTGGAAGACAGGAGGGCCTGGCGTGCTCTGGTCCATGGGGTCACGAAGAGTCGAACCCGACTAAATGACTAAACAACACAACAACAATGGTCTAGAAACACCTACATAACATATAACTTCACATCTCAATGCTATTTTGTAAGATAAAAGTTAAATAAGTGTTGAACTGAAGAAAAGAATTTGGCCCTTCAATAACAAAATAATTTTTATCATTACAATCCATTCCCCAGCTTCTGAAAAAGCACTCGGATTTCAGACATGTTAGATTAAAAAACTAGTGATGGATAATCATTTTGGCCATGCAACTGTGGTACAAAAGCAGGTAAACCAAAACTATGCCATGTGTAGTTGGGCACAATGCAAGAAACACAAAGGAAGACAGCAAGTAGGAAAAAAAGATTTCCAGTAGGAATTCATTATTTTCAGGATGAAAAATAAGCTTGAACAGCAGTGCGTTTTTTCCTTTCACTTACTATTTCCCTAAATATTTATGTTGTTATGAAAGAAGCACCATTCTCTATCTCTTTATAGCTGACTCTACAGACTGGGATTGGCAACTTTTGACTTCCAGATGTTTCTGGACTAAATCCCCCCTCTACACACACATAATGCTTCACCTTGGGGTATGCTAGCAAGGAATTATAGGATCTATAGGCCAAAAAAATCTCTAGATGGCCACAACTGCTCACCTAAATTGTAAGCCAACATTGAAGCACATCAAATTCAGAGTGGAAATAGGAGCATTGTTTTTAAGAATCCCCCCCCCCCCTTAGGCAGGAGAAAAATCCTGCCTGAAGAGAAAGATCTTTTCCTGACTGCAGAAGAACAGAAGAGAGGGGGCCAGCCTCGCCACCCATGAACAAGAGTTCTACAGCTTGGAAACAGCAACAGAAAACGTTCTATTTTATGTCTTCACCAAATGCACCTGTGAGGGAGATGGGACTAAGATGAAGGCCTCCTCCTCTGATTTTTAAACCCAGGCGAGCTTACTGTTTTCCCGTTAAAAAAAACATATGTACTATATTTAAGAAGGTAGTTTTGTTTCCTCAGTAAGAGAAATGGTGAAGGAGGCAAATTCAAAGCTTCTGTGTGCAACTATGAAGACTAGGTATTTACACTTATTCTCTAGTCTGAGTAGCCAAAGTGCCTGGTGCTAGAGCTGACAACACTTAAATACTGGCTCAATGCCTGCTTCTCTAATGTATTCAGAAAAGAAACTGTTAGACATGGGTGAAAGCAATTAACAAGATAAGTACCATTTAAAATAATGGACCACAAAATCCTATAACCTGCTTTACACTGAACCAGAATGAGAATTTAAAAGTTACTCCTACATCATATTTCTGAAGTATCAACATTTCACTTAAATGCAGGAATACAGCAAAGACTTGCTAGATCTGCTAAGATGACACATATATTCACTTATACTTTTAGAATATTAAGTACCCATTTCTGCTTTCAGAGGCAATTTACAGTCAAATGTATCCATTTACAATCCACAGTTCAGAAACTGTGCCTGAAGCATGTGGATATACAGTAAAGGGTTTATTCCAGTGCACTCACCTCATTTTCTTTAGTGCCTTACAATGCGTCTGTCTCAGTTTTCATAATTTAGTACTACTGGAAAGAGTTGTACAGGGTAGAAATTAGTAGCAATTATTTGAAAGGGAAAGGGGTAAGGTTTGATGTAGAAGGGAAAATGAATTTTTAGCAGGGTTGATGAGATTATGAAAAAGTATGATGTTACAGGACAAAAAGACCTGGTAAAAAGAATACTAGGGAAAAGCGAGACAACCTGACTACTGATTAAATGCCAATATCACATAGGTAAAACAAAGGACTATGTTAAGCAAACTTACAGCTTCATATGAGTAAATTCTATCAAATCGCACATGATGGCAATGCAACCAGGACATACGCACATTTATAAGGTAATCTTTCTTGTATTTTGAAAAAGAAGGCTTTGGTTAGTTTTAATGTACTTGATTACTTGCAATTCTGCTAATATGCAACCATATGTTCTACATTTTTCTAAAGAACCTATTACACTATACTGCAGCATGAGGTACTACATAAACCCTACAGAATTGTAGCATTCTCACTACTAAACTCTGAAGGTAGTTTTCTCAGAGAACGAGAAACTCAGACACCACTTTTTCATGACTCTACAACTCATTATATAAAGCTCAGAATCTCAGCTCTGATGATGTTGCTACACTTCATGGTTCTAGAGAAGATACAGAAAATGGCAAAGCACATGTGTCAAACTTGCTGATGGAATAGGGGGACATGCTGTTGATAGCACTTGTAGTAATATGCCACTGACAACTGGTGTACACCGTGGGTTATTGTGCTTGTGTTTTAGTTGGAGGCCAAACTATTATTTGGCAAATGGATTTGTCATTTGGAAAATGAAATGAAAAGGCAGTGCAACCCTGACATAAAAATTCAGAGTTTGTGCTCTATTACATGCATTAATAACAACCCAAATGAAGTCTCTACCTTATGCTCTCCCCACTCTTTCTCTTATGTAACCAATATACAGACTGGGATTTTTTAAAAACACACACACACACATAATTAGTCACATTAACAATTCCAAGACCCTCCTAAAATAGTTTGTTACTGTTGTAATTACATTTTAATAATGTACCTCTTTATGTTTCCATCTCCTAAAGTTAACTGCAACCATTCCTTTTCTGTTACGTTTTAAAAAACCTGAGTATCTCTGTCTTGAAGTATAAAATCATGTTCCCATCCCAATTTATTCCATTGTTATGTCAACAAGCACATTGCAGAAACATGCAGTGTAGCATTTGAATGGCGGATAGATCACCATCATTTAGTGAAGTTGCACCTCTAACAATAGAAGTTACAAAAAGGTTACAGTTCCAATGCAAATAAGCTAATTTTTATCCTTTATTGAAATATAATGTAGTTATAAAGCTGTTAGTTGGAAAAAGAATTAACTACAAATATTTATTTATTTATTTATTTATTTATTTATTTGTTTATTTATTTGTTTGTTTGTTTGTTTGTTTGTTCGATTTATATCCCGCCCATCTGGTATAGTCTACCACTCTGGGCGGCTTACAGAATATCAAAACAATTAAAAAAACATAAAAACATTAGCATACAATAACAACAAATAGTGCAGGAATAAATAAATAATAAATAGCAAAGCAAAAGAAATCAGTAGTTGACAGGAGGGAAGGCCTGTTGGTACATCCATGTTTTCAGCTGGCATTTGAAAGTACCCAGCATAGGGGCCTTACGAATCTCCGGAGGAAGGTTGTTCCAAAGGCGGGGAGCCACCGCCGAGAAGGCCCTGCAACTAGTTATTTCCAAACTCTCCAAAGAAATAGAATCCTGATTTTAGCTTGTTGCTGTCTGTGGGATTAACATGAATTCTACTTATTTAAACAGTTAGATGTTATCACATCTACCCATGGTAGAAATGTGGCAGGTTTTGTCAGTGAAGTAAAAAGTCATGATCTCTGGTCCACACACACAAAATTTAAGCAAACAGGATATGAAAACTAAATGCTTGCAGTTTCCTTTTCTTGGGCATGCAAGAGGGACAGAGCCAGAGACATCATTTGGGCCTGTTATATCCCACAAATGTAGAGCTAAACAACTTGTGCAAGTTATGTGTTAAGGTGGCCATTTAAATTCTAGGCCCTGACAATATCAGCAGAATTCCAGAGGCTGTCTAAACAAACTTTGATTTATTTAGGACAATTGGGAAGTTAGTATTCTCTATTTCTTAATTACGCCACTTTTGCTTTGAATGTATATACGTTTCATCAACTGGTAAATAAGTTATGTAAATACATCTGATGGTCATCTGGACTCGCATGTGAACATTTTTCATGCTGCCCTTTCATTATCTCTCTCACACACCACTATACATCTAATATAATATTCTAACACAAGATCAATTGGGAAGTTAGTATTCTCTATTTCTTAATTACGCCACTTTTGCTTTGAATGTATATACGTTTCATCAACTGGTAAATAAGTTATGTAAATACATCTGATGGTCATCTGGACTCGCATGTGAACATTTTTCATGCTGCCCTTTCATTATCTCTCTCACACACCACTATACATCTAATATAATATTCTAACACAAGATTCACAGAATCATAGAATAAATGAGTTGGAAGGGGGCTATAAGGCCATCATGTCCAAGCCCCTGTTCAGTGCGGGAATCCAGATGAAAGTAAGTCTGATAGATAGCTCTCGTGCTTTCTCTTTAATGCCTCCATTGCAGGAGTGCTCACTACCTCCCAGGGCAACTGGCTCCACTGTCACATTGCTAACAGAAAGTTTTTTCTTGATATTTAGCCGAAATCTGGCCTCTTGTACCATGAAAACAGATCCTGCCAACCTCTCTATGACATTCTTTCAAGTATTTGAAAAGTGTTATCACATCTCCCCTCAGTCTTGTTTTCTTAAGGCTAAATGTGTCCAGTTCTTTCAGTCTTTCCTCAGAGGGGTTGGTTTACAGTCCCCTGATCATCCTTGTTGCTCTCCTCTAAAGTTGCTCCAGTTTCCTGGCATCCTTCTAAAAGTGTGGTGTCCAGAATGGAACACAGTACTCAAGATGTGACCTAATCAATGCTGAATAGATGGAGACCACTACTTAATGGGATCTGGAGATATTTCTGTTAATGTATCCTAAAATAGCGACTGCCTTTTTTGCAGCCATATTGCACTGCTGATCCATATTCAGCTTGTGATCTACAACAGTGGTCCCTGTGATGAGATGGGTTTTTGAGTTAAAATCTTTTAAGGCATATGGGTTTTGTAATTAAGAAATGAGCCAGAGAGGTTCCATCTTGTTTCTTTGTATAAAGTATCTGTGCTATGCTGACAAGTTGTTTTCTAGGCGAGCAGAGAGAATGTTATTCTGAAAGCCTGAGAAAGGACTCTGTGTGATTAGATAGATGGGAATTGTTGTGACTCTTTGATAAACCACAGAAAACCCAAATAACATCTGGTGCGTATGGGAAGGAAGTCATGTGATGTAACAGGACTGTTTGCCTAGTAACGAACTCTGATTGGATGACATCGTGGGAAGGTGCGATGAGCCCTTGCCAGTTACTCTTGAAAAAGGAACTTTTT